GGTAGAAAAAAGTGTCTATGTTACCTGGGAACCTCTTGTCTAGAGAAGCAAGTTAGTTCTCGTTGGCATGTAAAAACAAAAAAAAAAACCCCAGCCAGGGTTGATATGGAGGTGCTCTGTCTGTACATGTATATTGGAAACCCAATTCACAAGCCATAAAGATGATGGTGGTAGACGGATGTTGCAGGGAAAGCCTGCTACAGAGCTGGACAAATAAATCAAAGTGCTAGAAACAATTACTTTAAGAAAACTGAGGGGGTTTATGGTATTTTGAATGAACTTGTGAAATGTTAAAAGGATTTTTTAATTAACAAAAATAACAAACAGGGGAACAAACTTTGAATTACTGCCCTGAAAATGTGCACTATCAGTGAACTGTGTGGAGAGGATGCATTTTGCCACGTTTTTCTAATTTCTTAAATCCACCAAATATGCCTTGTGTTTCTTTCAGTTTCATAGAAAGTGTAAATAACTTCATAAAGTTTGAGGTCAGGATTTGTTTGTTTTTGTGGGGGGTAAGAAAATTCTAGGTCATTACAAAGATGTAATTACTGTAAATGAAAACCCAGTGGATTCCAAAAAACTGATGTGCAAAGACTAGGAAACTGAATGAAAAGACTATAATTGGGATAGATTCTAGCTGCATACCACAACACCAGAACTCTGGGCATTGCTCATAGCTGGACCCTACTTGGCTCAACTATTTTTATATAATGTGGGTTCAGACAGTGACATTTTAATGAGGGAAAACATTTAGTAAATATGTGAAACTAAATTATTACGTTTTTATAAATAAATTAGTCTTACATACAGTTGATTTCATGTTTGCTAAACTCTGAATTCACACTACGCTAACAAATTACTAGGTTTTATTCCATCCTAACTTGGAATGTTTTTTCTGTACTGCCTCAGTAGAAAAGAAAATCCAGACTTTAGTTTGAGAGTTCTCTATTTTCCTGCAACTGCCTTCACATTGGCTATATTATTAAAGTATGTATGAATTTGACTATAGAAATTTATATTTTTGTAACAGCTGTTTAAAAATATTTCAAAATTTCAGCTGGATTTATCAATCTTTTCAGAATATTAATCAGTTTCCTCACTGCAAATAATTGTATCTCTTTAAATCAGTTTAATTCAATTTTATCTGTGCCCTTTAATAAGGCAGTTTTTCATTTAAGGTGAAACCTTAACATGCCTTTTGTAGACCAGCTTTTCCTCATCAATCTTTTTAAAAACAAAATCAACCACCTTGTAAATTTTAAGTGCTGACCTGGAGCAGTCGAATTGGGAACAGTTCTGTTGCTGTGCTATATTTTGTGATGCATAATAGCAAAGACACAGTAATTTGATTTTTTTTTGGTTTTCATTCTGCATCAATCAGCAGTGCAAAGGGATTGTTTCCTGTTTTTACAAGTACATTGAGCTCCTTTTTAGGACCTTAAAAATAAACTGTGTATGTTAATGAGGATAAAAGGAAGTAGTGTGAATATTTTATCAATTTATTAAATTAGTTGGAAAGCTTTCTATTAATAATACAAGTAAATTTGCACTGGGAGACTGTTTGCGAACTGTTCTAAAATGGCATCTATTTACCGTGCTTTGATCTAACAAATGTTCTGTGTAATGGGGGTTTTTTTGTACATTTCTCAAGTTGAAAAGAGTGCAACGTGTATTCTGAATTTTGTATAGGTATCCTAGACTATTAAGAAATAACTTAATGTATTTCTTAAAATAAAATTTGTACAATGCCATCTGGAACTTCTTGGTTTTATTATCAAAGTTCTTAAAAAGCAAATGTCAACTGTGGGTACAGCTCATGACAAGGTATAATGTACTGACACTTCTTTGTAAAGGTCAAACACCTATCCCATTTAATCAAGAGTCCTTGCTGAATTTTTTTTAAGCTCTCAGGTAATTTAAATTATAGCCTTCCCTGCTGCAAGTGTAATGTTACGTACTATTGTATGTATTTGAGCTTCAGTAACGTCTTAGATGCTCAGTACAGCACAGATATTTGCTACTGCAATAATGAAAATTCAGTTAGTAAGAAAGAACCCAGCCATAAAACTGCAGTTTTGCCTTATGCCCTTTTTAAAATGAAAACTTGTCAGTGTTGTGATGACTTGTCTGTTAGTTAATAAAATTTGAAAATTAAAAAAAAAAAAGAAGAAAAGGTAAAGGACAGATGTTGTAAAATGCTGTATTGAGTTGTAAATTAATGTTTTAGTGATCAGATTTGCACCATTGTTTAAGAGGTGTGTGAAGATGTCTCAGTGGAAACTGGATTGTAAAAAAAAAAAAAAAAAAATCAATGATTTAAATCAGGGTTCTCTCTTCATGATTTAAATCAATCTACGCTGCTTTATTCCTAAAGGTGCTGTGTGTGGAGTCTGGGGAAATAAGAGATGCATGGTGTGATTTTGAATGGTGTCTCAACTTCTTGCTTCTACCTATATACAAAACTAAGAACATTCTGTCTTCACAGTAGAGTTCAATACCTGTACAAGCAAGCTTGAATTCTTAGGTGCCAAAATCTGACTTTATTACTGTATTAGTTTCATCACCATCTTAAAGTTAATGTTTTTAGAGTAACATAACTTCATATACACTTGGAACAGAGCCTCCGATCCACAAGCTTCCTATTTGCTAGGAAGCAGAGCTGTCCAGTTTCAACATAGCCACAGGCCACATACTGCAGGCACAGCTCTTCCCTACAGCACCATGCAAGGCTGCACTGGAGGACCATTAGTTGGACAGTCTTGACTTAATTCTCCAAGAAATTAAAATGCTTGTCTTGCAACCAAGACAATGTAACAAAACTTGTAATTGTGTAAATACTTGAAGCATTATGGGAAATGCTCAGTTGGATAATGAACATACTAGAGGAATAAAGGCCCCAAGTGAGAAGTAAAGCTAACAACCTAATCACTAATCCTGCACTACTTTATCATCTAGCATAGTATTGGGACGTCTTTTGTGTCATAGTTTCATAGTTTTAGGGTCGGAAGGGACCTAATAGATCTTCTAGCCCGCCCCCCCGCCAGGGCGGGAGAACAACCCAAAAAAAAAAACCCAAACAAACCAACCCTAAAAACAAAAACGGGACTCAAATGAGTCCAGCCAGGTAAGTATCCAGCCTCTTCTTAAAGATCGCCAGGGTAGGGGCCAGCACCACCTCCCTTGGAAGTTGGTTCCAGCTCCTAGCCGCCCTAACTGTGAAGTAGTTTTTTCGGATGTCCAATCTGTACCTCCTCTCCATCAACTTGTGCCTATTACTCCTTGTTATGCCAGCGGGGGCTAGGGGAAACAGCGTCTCCCCCAAACCCTTCTGGTTCCCCCTAGTGAGTTTATAGACGGTCACCAGGTCCCCCCTCAGCCTTCTCTTGTGGAGGCTGAATAGGTTCAGGTCCCGCAGTCTCTCACTGTAGGGTCTGCCCTGTTGTCCCCGGATCATGCGGGTGGCCCTCCTCTGGACCCTCTCCATGTTGTCCACATCCCTCCTGAAATGGGGCGCACAGAACTGGACACAATACTCCAGCTGCGGCCTGACCAGCGTCGCATAGAGGGGGAGGATCACCTCCCTGGCTCTACTCGAGGTGCACCTGTGGATGCACGACAAGGTCCTGTTAGCCCTGCCAACCATGACCTCGCATTGTTGGCCCATGTTCATCTTGGAGTCAGTAATGACACCAAGATCCCTTTCCGCCTCCGTGCTCTCAAGTAGGGAGCTCCCCATCGTATAAGTGTGCTGCTGGTTCCTACTACCCAAGTGCAGCACCCTGCACTTGTCCGTATTGAAACACATCCTGTTCCTGTTTGCCCACCCCTGTAACCTATCCAGATCCTTCTGCAATCTCTCTCTCCCTGCTAGCGTGCTCACCTCCCCCCAAATTTTGGTGTCATCAGCGAATTTAAACAGGTTGCTTTCCACCCCAACATCAAGATCGCTGATGAAGAAATTGAACAGCGCAGGCCCCAGGACCGAGCCCTGGGGGACTCCACTACCCACCTCCCCCCAAGTCGAGTATGATCCATCCACCACTACCCTCTGAGTGCGACCCTTCAGCCAATCTGCAATCCATCTGACTGTGTAGGCATCTATGCCACAGTCGCCTAGTTTATTAATTAGGATGGGGTGAGAGACGGTGTCAAAGGCCTTGCTGAAGTCCAGAAAGACTACATCCACTGCGACACCTGCGTCCATGGCCTTTGTGACCTGATCATAAAAGGCGATCAGGTTGGTCTGACATGATCTCCCCCTAATAAATCCATGCTGATTGCCCCTGAGCATCATTTCTGATGCCGGCCCATCACAAATGTGCTCCTTGATGATCTTCTCAAAGAGTTTCCCCAGGATTGAGGTAAGACTGACGGGCCTATAGTTGCCCGGGTCCTCCCTTTTCCCTTTTTTGAAGATGGGGACCACATTAGCTACCTTCCAATCGTCTGGCACCTGGCCCAAGCACCACGATCGCTCGTAGAGCCGTGCCAGGGGCCCTGCAATAACCCCAGCTAGCTCCCTCAGCACCCTGGGGTGGAGAGCATCCGGACCCGCTGACTTGAATGCGTCCAGCCCCTCCAGAAGCAAGCTTCCGCATGACAGCAGTTAGCACCAGACCTAATGTATCTTTGTGGTACAGCGCATAAATAGCTTAGGTAGTTGAATAATCAAAAACAACAGCGCTCCAGTGTGGCTCTCTGCTGTCTGGGAGAAGCCTACCAGGAGTTACAGGCTTGATACAAGAAATATTCTGTAGTTTCTGGCTAGCCTTAATCTTAGTTTGTCTTTTGAGTAAGTGCACATGGGGAAAAGGAAAGAAAACGGTATAATGGTTCGTTTTTAATAAATTAAAAAAACCTGACAACTCATATCTTCATAATCTATCTAGGATTATTTAATTTAATTTACAATACGAGTTGTTCAGTCATAAAAACATTTTAAAACATGGCAATTATGGTAGTCAAAGAATTTTTTTTAAGAAAAGCTATGAGGAATATTCAGTTCAAAAGATTTTATTTTAATATCGTGTACACATCTTTACTTCTGACTTGACTCAGATTTAGATGTGGAAGCTCTCAATGAGGAAAGTCTGCGCCTCTTTGCTATCTGCTCCTGACGTTTTTCCTTTGCCTCCTGTGAGAGAGAAAAAAGCAGCAATGTGTGTGTACAACTGATTAGCTCACCAGCATACCCTATCCTCTGAATCGGAGAGAAATTAAAACTACAAAATCTCATTAAGCAGTTTAACTGGAAAGGAGAATAAATCAGAGCTGCTGAAGTTTGATATGGGACAGAAAGTGTGAGCATCTTCCAGTGGCAAGACAGTTCTATCCTTACCTCAGTGCACGATGTAGGGTGGAATACTGTACTATGTGGGAGAAATATACTTTGATATATGTATGCGGTAGAGTTAATCATTTTCCATTTAGACAAAAGCAACTCAAGTAATTCTCACACCTAGCAGAGGCTGGACCATCCAACTGTACCCATACTGCGCTTTAGGTTGTAAAGGAAGTGAGTTTAATAATGGAGCCCTAGGCTACAAGTTTCCAAAACTGTTTAAAAACTGGCTGAAGTGGAAAGGGCATGTGGGAAGAAGGTGGGAGGGGAAGGAAGAGTGCTTGCAGGAAATGGTTGCACTAACAGCCGAGAGTACAGACATGCAAGCAGTTTTGTAACACCCTCGTTAGAAGGTAATTTTTTAAGTCAGGTTGTGTGGACAAAATCCTATTTAGAGCTAACTTGTCCAATTACCTGCAATAAATGCATACTGAAGCACTGAATACTTTGAGGAGACATACCTTCATTCTCTTGGCCAAAAGCTTGGCATATTCTGCTGCTTCCTCCTTGTTCTTCTGTGTACGCTGCTTCTTCAGAGCAATACGTCTACGCTTATGTTGCAGGACTCGGGGAGTCACCAATCGTTGAATCTTAGGAGCCTTGGTTCTGGGTTTCTTGCCTAAGATTAGGAAAGCATGTGTTACCTTCTGTAAATGCTGAACAAGTTTGTTTCCTAACTAGGTAATATAAAGCTAAATAATGTGATCTATCATTTACTGAAAAAAAAACAACCAAAAAACAAACAACCCCTCCCCCCCCAAACCCCAATTTTGCAATAGTTTTCCAATTTGAGACACCCAACAATATACTCAGTCTTCCCTCTCCTGTAGTAGGGAAGGAAGGAGATTGTCAAGAACATTCTAGCAGAACTTCTTGTAAAATTAGCAATATGTTCCAATTCCTTTTTCATAAGTCTCCTGAGAACCAAAACTGTTCCCAAAAGCTTGCAAGTATGTCCCCCCTCACCCAGGAGTCTCATCTGTTATACATCCAGCTGAAGAGGCATAAGGCTTCACCCTAATCGACATTAAGCTGCATGCTTCATTTCTACAATGTTTGACTGATAGTTGCAACAAACTTGGTAGAAGGGCTGTCAAAAGCAAGATAAACTATTTCCTAGATGTTTTAGTTGGATTACTGTCATCTTTTACAACCTTAAAAATCTCAAGCATGTCTTAATGCCAGCTAGCTCAGTTTGTTTGTTTCACCACAATTTTTTCTAGATTCTCTGAGGTAGATTCTCTGATCACCAACTAATTCTCACAGCTCTTTCAAGTTTTCCTTCCTACTTAATATTCCATGTGAATTCATGCATGCTTTAAGGCTACAGACACTGAACAGCCAGAGTCTACATCACACATGAAGAGAGGGAGTGCAGGGCACTTAGGAATTTGAATGGTAAAGCTTAAGGCAGGGGTATCAAACATACAGGCAGTATTGCTGCTCTATCCAGCCCACCAAGCCAGGGTATTTAGGGGCATAGCTAACAAAGGGCAGGGCCTGCTACAAACCTGGGGCTCTGCTGGACATGGGCAGTGGCAGAAGGGCGAGCCAGGGCTGTATTGTTCACCCCACAGCCAGCTGACAGGCGGCCACTGCTGTTTATGTCACAAGCCAGCCCAAGTCACAGGGTGAGTCTGACACCCCTCTCTCAAGGAGCTTGACTTAACTATTAGAAATCCAGCCCACCTACAATCCAGTGAAGCTACTATACTACTTTCCAAGCTAGAGCTAGTGCAGCCTAGCTCCAGAAGGAAGTTCAGGCAGGGCCAGCACTCTGCTCTACCTTCAGGCCTCAGATGAGCTGCAAGAGAACTACAGATGTAAAGACAGCATCTCCAAAGATTTGACTTCACTTTAAAGCCCTTTAACCAAGAAAGTTAGTAGTCTTTCACAAGTTTCAATTCAGCCCAAGTTCCATGGAGTGCCTTATCTTGGTGATTTTTAGCACCAACATTTAACATTTGATGTTCTGAAAGGTGCCCCGAGGCATTCGGAAATATACAGCTAAACTAAGCAGGTAAGAGCAGGCCCCTCTGCAAGGAGGTAAGCATTGTAATCTATAAATTCAGTTGTTTTTTTTTTTAAATTGGGTGCCCCTTAATTCCAAAAGTTATGGTGGGATGCCTTGAGTCTAAAATGGTTGAGAACCACTGCACTAGCTAAAGCCTAGTTTCCCTTCCCAGTCTATCTGTCCTTCCTTTAACTACTGCAAAGAGGAAGGATGCAGAACAGTAGATAGGGGAGAAGTAAATATCCCAGGCAAGGCATGCATCCTCATTAGAAACAGCATCTGCCAAGCAGCAGTGGTTTAAAAGTATTCTAGGGACTGATGTCAGAAACAAAGAAGGTCAGAATTAGGAGGGAAGTTTAAAGCATTTTGATGCCAGAAGTATTAAATATTTGCTCCCACTACTGGGAGAAGCACAGACTTGATATTCAAGCCATCTTCATTCACAACATGACTTTGGACTAGGAGCACCAGCAAGTATATGTAGAAATGACACCAAACTTCTCCCCTCCCCATGACCTCCATGGAAATAGTAGGAAAGGCTGCTTATCTAAAAATTATTAGCAGCAGCTGACAATCAAGTTTAGGTGGCATTACAGCAGCACCATTTAGATATGAGGAACTGATTCTCCCCAGAAGCTTAGATTAGTCTCCTAATCACTAAAATACAACAAGAGCAGCAGAACTGAAGCATCTTACCCTCTTTGTTCAGGGGTTTTCTTACTACATACTGACGAACATCATCTTCTTTGGAGAGGTTAAATAGCTTGCGGATTCTGCTTGCTCTCTTGGGACCAAGTCGACGAGGCACAGTGGTGTCTGTCAGCCCAGGAATATCCTTCTCACCTTCAGGTAAATTGTTAGATTAGTTGCACAGAAATTAATCCCATGGCTCCTTGAACTCAGTTATCTGAGCAGTTGCTAAAATTCCCTATTATTATTAGTGTATTACAAATACACTGCCTTGAAACAACTGTGCTAGTGTCAAAATAACAGCTAGTTAATTTTTAGGGCACACATACCATTCCAAATTCCATACTGCATTGCTACCTCTAATAAGAGCATTTCAACTAGTCAACAGACTAGCTCACCCTATTTAAGATACATTACCTTTCAAGTACTGCAAGATCTAAAGTACCTTTAAAGCACATATTTAGCCCCTCAAGGAGCCCGTGGGCTAAATGACATGGTTCTATCAGCCATCTCTCTCTGATACCCACAGTTTAAGGCATTTTCACTCGCTTAGGACAATAAAAAAAAAGAAATCAGTTTATCAAGAATATCATATGCTGGATATATGGACCTCCAGCTGCCTAAGTGCAGCATGGCTATGACCTAACCAATTACTTTATTTCCTCTTATTTAAGAAATGAAGAGTATGCGACTAAGCATTGGTTATTAATATGAATCTGACATGATCAGTCCATCTTAATGGAGGTCCCTAGTGGGACAGGCTCCTTTAAGTCATGTTTCATAAATAATACTAGTTTCTAACCAGAGATGTGAGCATCAAGTAATATTCATTGAAGAATTTGTTTTAAGGCCTTTGCCTATTGCAGAGACTTAATAACCATGCCCACAGATTCTCACCTTTCTTTACAATGACCAAATTCAGGACACTTAAATTGGCATCAACAATACAGCCCCGGACAGACTTGCGTTTTCGTTCTCCAGTTCTTCTCGGGCGGTAGCAGGAGTGGCCCTTGCTAAGCAGTAGGCGCACACGTCCATGAGTCAGGACACCTTGTTTCATGGGGAAGCCTTGTTTGTCATTGCCACCACTGATGCGGACAACATAGCCCTGTTAAGAAAAAGATCAGCAGAGGGACGATTTATTTTTTAAGTCAATGTTGCTTGTGGATACAATCACTATATGTATATTCTTTTAAAGTTTGAAATTTAATGTCTGTACCTCATTTGTAATACAGCAGGCATCCAACAATTTGCATGCAACTCAAATACTACTGAACTAGTTGTGTGGAAGTTACTATTTTAGTGCCTGTATTTGAACGTAGGCACAACTGGTGGAAAAGGTTCAAACAGTCTTGCTCTTGAAAGTCGCACAGAATTCATTACAGTGATTCTCAGCTAAGGTGTTGTGGCATCCTGGGTTGCCTGGAGATCTTTTCAAGAGTGCTGCAGGGTAACATGCAGTGTTAGCACTGTTAGGTGTGCAAACAATTCACAAGATCAACCTAGAAATTTCATATAAGAACCTGTGACACCAAAAGCAAGTTGACCTGTTGTGGTCTTTCTGTATTCCCTGAACAGAAGAATTACTTTGTTCCTTTTCTCAAAAGAAAAGTGAAAACTCCGAGTCTATCAAAGTTGAGGGCCACTGATCTATCACTTTTGGGAGCTCTAGGAGGCCAGCACAGCACCAGCGTGAATAATGCACAAAGCAGCTGAGCAGAATAGCTAAAGACAAGCCCTCATACCTAGTGTGAACAGAGCTAAGTGTGTCTAAAATGGTTCTGTCCCACCAATTTAAATTCAAGTGTTTCAAAGTATGCCAAAGAAAAAAAAAGGCTTGTAAACTAGTCAGACATTTTTCAGACCTAGCCTAAGCAGTCAGCAGTAAACAATTATAGACGCATGGGTTTTTTTTAACCCCTAAAAGCATGTGTCCAAACCTTTTTTTTTTTCTCTTCACTCTAGAGGATGAATCATCAGCTCTTCCCCAGCTCAAGCTAACCTACATACCTCCTCTCCAACTACCAGGTGTGGCTTATGTTTAAGAGAAGACACTCAACACAAAGGGACCCTATGTCTAGAAAAGCCACTAAGTCTATTCTTTACCAAGGCTTATTTCTGTTGCTGCATAACAGTTTTTACTCCTTTTTAACTGGAGAACTACAACACAGTCAAGTCACAGTCGGCAACCTGTAGGAAAGGACATCTCCATTACACCTAAGAAAAGGTCAATCAGCACCCAAACTACACTAAGTTAGGAAAAGGTCTTCTCAAGGCATCATTACACCAGTTCTGTACATCTTACGTGAAACTTATACCAGTGTTTTACATTGTCCACTCCCCTGCCTTGCGCTGCACATGCCAAAAAAAAAAGTTTGCGTTACATTAGCCAAATTCTTACCTTCCATTCCTCACCAAGAGAATCAGCGGCAACTTCAGTGGCCATCCGCTTCTCATAGAAGGTGCGCAGTTTTCGCTCATCATCCACTTCAATGAGTTTCTGGCACCCAGTGGCCGGGAAAGAGATGTTGAGCTAGGAACATGAAACAGGGACCTCGTTAAACCCAAATCACTTTTTCCAGGGCAAAACCTGCTCCCCCCTGCCCAGTTCCAGCTCATCTCGAAAGGATCTCTTCAAATTCCTGCTCAGCTCCCTTAAAGACACGCAGCCCAACAGGCTCCCAAACTAAACATGCAGCCTACATCTGCCAGATTTTGCTGACTGATGCTCTCTTCCAGCCTGGATCCGTTAATGTTTTCATGCATGAATACAACACCAGCATTGATCCTAGTGCTGACAACCACACGGCTGGTTGTGCTCTAATGCACCCATTTGAAAAATGGTGCAACCAAGGCAGGATGTTTCTTTCTACACTTCTCCCTTGGCCTGGTGCAAAGCCAGGCACACTCCCTTGCTGCCCTTCCAAAAGGAGCACTAAAACTCCAGCCCAGGCCCCCCGCCCCGAGGCCCTGCAGGGTTCCGTCCCTCCGAGCTCCCAGCACACGTCTGGCAACGAGGGTTCCATCCTGCGCGCGCAGCCCCAACGCAAGGCCGCCGCCGCCACCACCACCAGGAATCCACCTCCATCCGCGCCGCAGCCGCGCTCCCCCACCCGGCCCCGGCGCCATCGCGTCCCGCAAGTGGCTCCGCACCCAACGCCCTAGCCATCTGAACGCGAGAGCTGCGGTGGGCGCCAGAACCCGGCCCCGAAGCACCCACCTTCATCCTGTCCACACAGCTCCTCTCAGGTCCGCCACGGGTAAAAAGGGCAGACTTCCGCTCAACCCTGCTGACATAGGCATGCGAAGATCTCGCGAGAGGTTGCAAGAACGCGAGACGGGAAGGGAGAAAGCGCTGGAGGGGGGGCGCCACGTGACCGATGTCAGCCAGTTGGAAAGAGGCGTTCTATTCACTTGTCCGTCGCTGGGTTAGAGCGTCTCTTTGCTGCCTCTCTAGTCTTTGGCGGATTCCGTCACGTTCTCTGTGGTGGGAAAGGTTGTGGAAACCCCCCCCCCCCCCGCCCGACCACCTCCCCGGCACCGGTAGAACAGCACTGCCTGGGAGCCTGTTGCAGGCAGGGGGGTAAAATCCAGGTGGCCCGCGCCATTCAGAGCATAGTGCACTAGCACAGGAACCTGGCTCCTTGTCACTGCTCAAGGCGGGTGCAGACCAGATCCAGCCTGGCCCAATAGCAGCAGCTCCCCAAAGAGGAACGGACGCAGGTTGGAAAAAAAAAAAACACCTGCCAGAGGTGTTGCTGCGTGCGAGCTCCCACCTGTGGGTATCACGTTTGCTTGAGCCAGCGGCATGATTAAAATCAAGCTGGCGGTTCTCAAGTGGGGGACCTTGAGGTCCTTGGGAGAAAGACCATAACCACAATGGTGGCAGAAGTACTCTGGCTGAGGTAACACAATTAAAATGGCAGTGTGTAGTAGAGGGTTGCACCCTTGTCTGCTTGCAGACAGGACTCTCTGAGAGCCTTATAGTTAGCTTCCCGCTGGCCTGCTTCCAGTGGGTGGATCTCGGCTACATGCCGATTTTGTGGAACTGGGAGGCCCCTCAGCCATACGACTGAGGGCAAGTGCAACTTGGGGATATCCAGACCCCACATCTGGGCTTGGGCCTGCACGTAGGATGCCTACCAAAGGATTTGGAAATATCTGAAGCCACAGGCTGGGGTGGAAGATACTTGCCAGTAGTAGGGCCACATGGTTCTTGGACGATTCAAATGGATTTGGACCTGATCTAGCTAATTTGACCTGGGACATGAAACACTTCTTTTAGAAAAAGAAAAAGGAAAAAAAAGGGTCCTTTCAGGGGTGCTGCAGGGTCCTGCCAGTGCTGTTTGGTGTGCAAGCATAATTCACAACATAAACCTGCCCACAGAAGAATTGCGCTAGTTTTTCTCTATAGTCACAAATCATGTGAAAGTTAAGAGCAGGCCTTTTTGGAAGCCCATCAAAGGGCTGCCTTGACACGAAGAAAAGGTGAGAACCACTGCCTCAAACTGCCATTTGGATTCACTGTTTTAGTTTTTTGCTGCCACGGATTAGAATCAAGTCTGTTTCAGGTGTCACTATGTGTGTGTCCACTATGCAGCTAGGCTGTCACTGGGTTTCTAGGTTGCACAGCTAGGCTTGTCTTGTTGTAGCAGCAACAGGTGAGTAAAAGGCAACAAAACACCAAGGCCACCTGGAGTTTCTTGATGGGACTCTGCATCAGGTTTTACTTTGCTTGCTTTACTTTTTGGCCTTTGATTAGAATTGTTGGTTATTAGATGCAGAAGTGCTCTGTCCATGGTGACAATGGACACTGTACATCTTGCTAAACATGCATCCAGTGCTGAATGGCATTCCAGATGTTAGTGGATGTTAGCTGGAATAATGTTGCAGGTGCTACAGCCATTCAGGTTCTTCAGGGCCAGATTTGCAAAATGCTATGGTCTTCTCCACATTAATCCAAAATCCTGGAGGGTTTCTTGTTGTTTCTGTTGATGGTATGCTGTGAAGAATGCTAAGATTTATTTCCTGAATGCAACTTCTAACAATCATAGCAAAGATTTACTAATGACATGACTACTTTGTCATGCAGAATACTGCACTTCAAGAAATGTTTGGTGGTGACCATTTTTTATTGAAAGTAAGGCTGCAAAGTGCTTTGTTAGCATCTGCAACCTCATAACCCTAACAATGCATCATAACCCTAATGAGTCATATTTTCCTATAGGCCAGGCTCAGCAGAGTATTCTTGAAAGGGGAAGTGACAAGCTACAAGGAGGTTAACAATGGAGTTTCAATAGGATTGATCTTGGGACTGATCTCCAATGCTTTAATTAATAATCTTATACGAATATGAGGAGTGTGCTCATGAAATGTACTGCTGATACAAAAGTGGGGTGCGGGAGAACAGGCATTGTCAGTACAGAGAAGGGTCAGGATATTGCATTAAAAGAAATAAAGGACTTTGAGGACTGTGTGACAGAGCACCTTTGGTGTCTCCCACTTGCAGCCATTTTAAGATTCAGGCCAGCAGAGCTGGAGGTAGCAATCTGCTGCCTGATACCGAGGAAATGTCTCTTGGTAGAGATGCTGCTCTGGTAACACTAGGAGGTAAAGGCAAAAGCTTATGGGGGTGGCTAGGAGGCTCTCAGTCCTGGGCATGACTTGAAACTGCACCCTACTGGGTGCAGCCTACTGGTGGGGCTCCTAGTGGTGAGGAAGCCCCCAGGAAATGCTAGGCCACTTACCTCCCCTGGTGAAGGGTACCTTAACCCCAGCCCCTGCCTTTGGGCAGGTTTATTTAACACCAGAGACAGTGGAGGGCCAGGCATGCCCAGGTGTGGAGGGCAGAAGGCCCAGAGAATGGGTGGTGGGGCCAGGCATGCCGAGAGAGGGACCCGAGCCCCAGTGGGGTGTAGAACCCTACTGAGTGAAGTGAGACCTGGAGAGCAAGGGGGCCTGAGGCCAAACATGAACTGGAGGCTGAGGAGAGGTCCTGAGAGTGAGGGGCATGAGTAGGGGCCCAAGGAACAGGCATTATGTTCTGGTATGCAGCTAAGGCTAAAGTAAGCCCACAGTTGAGCAATTGCTCAGTCAACACACAGTGAGGTAGCAGGAGATACCTGAGAGACTGTGCCAGGGCTGAGTGGAGACCTAAACCCAAGGATCTTATGAAGTAGGGTGGGATAAGTGGGGCGGTATGCAAGAGACTGAGTGAGAGCTGCTGGAGTGTAAGAGGCCCTGGTGTGAGAGGGGTGATATGAATGTGGCCTGTGACACAGCAGTGTGAGAGAGAGACAACTGTGTGCCTTGAGCCAGCGACTGAACAGTAGGTCACCTGCAAGGCTTGAGATGCAGTACAGGGGTGGTTGGAGCTGCATACCTAGGCCCAGGAGAACCAGGAAGCCACCTGCCTAATTAAGACCCTAATTGCATAACAAGAAGGTGAAGCAGGCAGCATGTCCAGAGGCAGATGGGAGATTAGTACTGTGGCTGGTCAGGGAGTTCCCATGTTGCCACAGACTGTATTACTGAATTTAAGTCCATTTTTATTTTTCCAAAGTGCCAGATCGTGTGCTTAAGAAATAATAAGGCAGACAAGGTTCTTTAGGTAAATGTGATATCTTTTATTAGGCCCACTTAACAGTTAGAAAAAGGCTTCTTAAAAATGCCCTTCTTTAGGCATAGGGAGAGCCTGCTGCTGTTTTGTGTTCTCCTGGATGGGTCTGATCCTCGCTGCCATGCACTTGCATTTTCACAGACCTGCATTTTGCATAGGGAAGTGTTAGTGCTATTATAGGTGGCAGAAGGCTAATGGGGCTCAGCCCCCCAAACATGGGTCAGCAGGTGGGGGCTGCAAGGCAGCCTGGCTGCAGGCTCCAGGTGGCTACAACAGGAGTGGGAGGGGTGCACACGCAGCCAGGCTAACAGTGTGGCATGTGGATGACTGGCTGCCTAGCATGGCAGGCAAGTACCAATCTGTCTATTCTGGGAAGGGGCTGGGGCGGGTGCAGAATGAGGCTCCCATATTGAGGGAGGGAGTGGGGCAAAGGCAGGGATAGGGATGAATGGGGCCCTGGCTGGGCCAGGTGGTGGGACAATCGGAGCCCAGGCGGCTCATCGGGTTGGGGGGAGGTCCCGCTGCTGTGCATACCCCAGCAGAGGTCCAGGCGGCACATAGGTCTGTGTACAGGATGGAGGCGGCTGCCACTTCACTTTGTGCACCACTGCTTGGGCAGCCCAGAGTGGCAGGACGTCATGTGTGTCCTGCTGCGGGACAGGCAGGGGGCACAGCGGTGGTGGGACACACTTGACATCATGCCACTCCCGGGGCAGCTGCACTGGCAGCAGCGCACAAAGCCCAGC